TTCTCTCCCTCTCCTTCTTCTGCCGCTCGGATTCTTCTCGCAAAACGCGCGCTCAACCTCCCACAATCTGGTTTACCATCCCATCCTTCATCTCCTTCATTTCTGCCTTCATCTCTTCATCATCGCCCCTTCATCTCCTTCATCCCTCTCTCATCTCCTTCTGCCGACGCTCTTCCTCCTGCTGTCGTTCCTTCTTCCGTCTCTCTGCGACGTCTGCTTCCTTCCTCGTGGCTTCTGCCTCCGCTCCTCGTCCTGCAGTCTATCCTGTTCCGCCGCTCAGAGTCTTCTCTAAGAACCCTCTCTCAACCTCTCTTCCACCCCCTTTAACGTGCCCTCCGCCATCCCCCCTCCCGGACTGGCGAACCTGATCACTCACCCTTATGATACTCTCCTGCAAGTTGGGAGAGTCTCGTGTCCACCTGCTCGCGAAAACCTGGCCGTCGTTTCAGCTTGGCGCCGCCGTTCCTCATTTCCATGGCGGATTCTTCCAGGTTGGCCAGGGCGTCGCGGCAGTAATGGACGGTCAGATCGGCCCACGTCGCGACTGATGCTGCTGTTGCGGGCCGCCAAGTTGCAGAACGTCTGCGTCACCATTCGGGCTAAGAGCGTCAGACGACACTTTACCTCTGCCGAGCTTACTGTCCCAGCTTTCCGGCCTCGACGAACCTGTCACCTTGGTTCGACCAGGTACTGTACTCGTCCCGATGCAGCATCCGCCGTATTGGCGTCTCTGCCTCGAACCCACTCTACCTACCAAACGCTTCTGCCACCCCGCCTGGCCAAGATTCCTCTCCACTGCTCTCTGATGAAGGGTAGGCCGCCTCTGCCGGTTGAGATCCACTGTATCCCCTAGGCGCCCATCATCGTCTGCCACCCTCCATGGCCCCTCTACCCCGGTTCCTGGTCCCCGCGTCGGACTTTCCTCCCAAAAATATCCGGACTGGCCGAATGTACCGTATCTCCTCATTCTGCTCCTCTTCTGTTTCCAGCGCATCTCCCTCGTAGTGCCCCACTCCAGCCTCCGGGACCACACGAACCTCCTCCATAGTATTTTGACGCTCTGTCTCTGCCATGCTCTGCGTCTCTCGGTATGCGAATACCTGCGACGCTGCCTCCTCGTCATGCTGCCCCTCTTCCTCTGCGACTGCATGTGGCCCCTCAGCACCCGCCGTTCTCCCGTCCCTCTGTCTGTATCATTTTATTCCCATCTGAACCCCTCCTCTCCATCTGGCTTCCTACGTTCGTCAGCCTCAGCCTGCTTCTGCTCCTCGGCCTCCGCCATCTTCTGCGCCTCACCCTCCGCCTTCTGCCGCGCCTCTACAACAGCCTTCTTCCGCGCTTCTGCCCGAGCCAGTTGTAGTGCCTCTTCCGCAGCCTGTTTCTGCTCCTCTGCCTCCGCCTTCTGCCGCCGCCGCTGCTTCTGCCTTATTCCGAGCCTCTCCTTCCTTATGTGCGTCTGCCTCCTCCATATGCAGCGCCGCTGCCTTATCCTTCTGCCTCGCTGCTGCCTCTGATTTCCTTGTGCGCCTCTGCCTCAACCATCTTCGGCGCCGCCGCACCCTCCTCCTTCTACCTCGCCGCTTGCCTCTGATTCCTTGTGCGCCTCTGCCTCAACCATCTTCGGCGCCGCACCCTCCTCCTTCTGCTGCGCCGCTACCTCAGATTCCTTCTGCGCCTCTGCCTCAACCATCTTCGGCACCGCACACATCCTCCTTCTGCTGCGCCGCCTGCCTCAGATTCCTTCTGCGCCTCTGCCTCAACCATCTTCGGCGCCGCACCATCCTCCTTCTGCTGCGCCGCTGCCCTCTGATTCCTTCTGTGCCTCTGCCTCAACCATCTTCGGCGCCGCACCCTCCTCCTTCTGCTGCCCCGCTGCCTCTGATTCCTTCTGCGCCTCTGCCTCAACCATCTTCGGCGCCGCACCCTCCTCCTTCTGCCTGCGCCGCTGCCTCCAATTTCTTCTGCGCCTCTGCCTCAACCATCCTGGGCGCCGCACCCTCATCCTTCTGCTGCGTTTGCTGCCGCTGATTCCTTATGTGCGTCTGCCTCATCATTCTGCTGTGCCGCTGCCTCATCCTTCTGCTCGCCGTCTGCCTCTGATTCCTTCTGCGCCACTGCCTCCACCACCTGCAGCTCGACTGCCTCCGACGTCAGCTCTGCTGTTGCAACCGCTTCTTTACGCGCGACTGCCTCCCCACTCTTTGACCGCCTTTGCACCCACCTTCTGCTGCGCAGCGGCCCTCTGCTTCCTTTGGCGCCCCGTCCTCTGCCGTAAGTGCCGCCTCTGCATCGACGAACCGATGGGCCGCATCCTCTGCATTCTGGTGCGCCTCTACCTCCGCCATCTTATGAGCCTTTGCACCCGCGTTGCTCTGCGCCTTCTTTTTCGCCTCTCCGAATTCTCATGGCACGTCGACGTCCCCTCTCCGGGCCTCTTCAGCCGCCTTCCGCTTTACGCCGGGCAAGCGAACTTTCACGTATCCCCTATCCTCCTCGATATGATGCCGCACATTGTTGGCGAGCTCCTCTCCTGCCTCTCCCACGTGTGCCCTTGCAGCGGCTCGTGCCCCATGCTCCCATGCTTCACGTATGTCTCCAGTTCCCGGGAAAGAGACGGTAGGATCGGTGTCGCATCACGGCGCCGTTGCCTCTCTTCAGCCCGTCTCCTCTTGGCTTCTGCTTCGGCCACCCGCTTATCATCAGCCGCCTTCCTCCACTGCTCCTCTGCCTGTTCGACCTGACTTGGCAGCTGTGGATCTTCTACACCCTCCTCGCCGTCATCTGCTACACTTGCCAAGTCGGTCTCCGTCCGTGCTTCGCGTTCCGGCCAGGGCTGTCGATTGGTTTGGAGCCAGAACTTGAGAGGCTGAGGTGCCCCAAAAGTTGCCCTGAAATTTACGGGCTGAGAGCAAACATGGCACTTGAAATCAGGGCTACCAACTTTTTTGCACTTTCGCTAAGGAAACCCCACATCTCTTCGGGTCCGTTATCTTAGGCAAAACTACTAAGAGCCAGCTAAGCAATAGGCTTGAGGTACGAAACATGTCGATGGATTTGACAGGGATGGGAAAAGTAGGGGAATGGCTGGGAGGAGGCGAGTGGACTGGTGAGGGGATGGAAGGGAGGGAGGTATTAGTATGGGACGATAAGGGCTAGCCGCGGGATCTGCACTTGAAATCCGGGTTAGGCCCACAACCAGCACTTTACGGGGACGGGCTGCCCTCAAATCCAACCCTTAAAATTCGGAATCTGGGCCGAAACCAACCCTTAATGCTCAGGGCATTAAGGGCATTTGCCCTTGAATCGTCAGCCCTGGTTCCGGCGGCCTACTAACCCGATCAGCAAACCTGAGCTGCCTAACTCCAGACCTAACACGCTCGTCCGCACGGGCTGACCTTGATGTCGGGCCACTCAGTAGTGCACCCCCCGGTGCAGGTCGTCGGGAATATGAAATTTCCCCTACTCTTGGATTTGCGTCCCGGTTTGCGGCAGGTACGTCTCTCTGTCCCTCTACCGCTTCGGATCTTGTTCTGTGCCGCCGGCTCCATGGTATTTCCGGACCGTTCCGGTGCGCTCTCCACCACTCGAGCCTCATGGGTCGTCATGACTGCATCCGGGGCGGGACGGAGCTGGACTCCTTGCAGGTCGAAGAAGGCCCTGCAGGTCGACTCCAGCATACTCCGAATTTCTTTCGCGCTATTTTTCCCCTTCCCTAAGGCGATCATCGGCTCTGCAGTTTGAATCGCCATGACATCCCCCCATTTGTCCAGCAACTTGCTGAACAGATGGGTAACGTGCAGCCCGGAACCCACTTGCCTCTGTCCCTGAACCTTGTTGATCTGCAACATGTGCGTGAAAAGGTGGTTGTCAGACACTCCCGTAACTTTTTACAAGCTTAATATCATACAACGCTTAAATCATAAAAATAGAGGCTCCTTACCCTGCCTTCCTCTAGAAACAGTTCCTCTAGGCGATCCCTCAAATCTTTCTGCACCGCTTCGGCGTGGCTGCCAGAGACCCTGCGACCTCGGCTGTATTCCACATCTAGTTGTCGGATAAGCCAGCTGCAGGGCAAGGGTGGTCGCAAATAATCAATAACATGCGTCCACACAAACCGCACATCTGATTAAGGAGTGACACTTACTCGAACACCTCCTTGGCATGGTCGCTGTGGCGATGGGTTGGGATTGGAGATTTAGGGTCGAACTGTAGCACACGCGTACGGTACTCTCCGCGGGGATGTGCTAACAAATCTTGCGGGTTCATCAGCACCATGAGACTTATCGCCGTCGAGTGAACAACAGGGACTCTGCGGTACATCGCAGTTTGGTTAGCAAGATAAGCTGGTGTCATCCACAGACGTTGCGGATCCATGTCAAGAAACTTGAGAAAGTACGAACGAGAAGTGGAATGACTATGAACGAAGTGAGTACAAATAGGAAACCCTAATTGGGTTGTACCCCCTATGGGATACCCCACTATAGCCTACAGAAACAAGTAAGCTATAAGTTCTGACACACCCCCATAGGCAAAGTGGGGGAGAACAAGGGGTCACAAGACCGGTCAAGCAAAGCAAAGCAAAGCTCAGGGTGGATCACAAAGTCACCACGCATTCCGAGCACAAGTTCAAAGGCCACAAGGCCAGTTCACATGCAAGATCATATATAGAGATATACAAGAGCAAGAGTATATATATGCGAAAGTACAAGCAAGGTCAAGAGGAGAGCAAGTGAGGCAATACAGGCACAAGACCCAACTGCGTGCAGCAACGCTGATGATCACAAGGCGCAAGTGCCTTGGTGAAGACATCCGCAGTGTTGGCCTCAGAGGCCACGTACGCAAGTCGCAGCTGTCCACGCTGCTGTAGCTCACGAGCAAGAAAGTAGCGAAGAGCAATGTGCTTCGTTCTGTGCTCCAGTCGCTGCTCTCGACACAAGGCCAGCATGGCCTTGTTGTCTACGTACAGGACTGGAGGAGAACGAGGCTGCTCTCCAAGGTCGGTCAGCAGGTAGGTGAGCCAGCGTAACTCCTGTGAAGCCATGGCCCCAGCGTAGATCTCAGCCTCACAACTGGAGCCGAGAACAGAAGACGAGCGGGTAGCCCGCCACGAGACAGAGCCGGAACCAAGGCTGAAGGTGTAACCCTGTGACGACCGCTGCGTAGCCTGGTCGTCAGCCCAAGAAGCGTCTGCGTGCCCAGTGAGGACCACTGGACTGCGCCCTCCAAGCACTAGCCCCATGCCCGACGTACTGCACAAGTAGCGCAACACCCTCTTCGCTGCAGCCATGTGCTCTGGTCGGTGTCTCCCAGGAGCAACAAAGCGTGCGAGAATGCTAAGAGGGTATGCGAGGTCAGGTCGTGTGCAGGTCATCAGGTACATGAGGCAGCCAACAAGCTCTGCAAACGGGCCACTCGACTCTACGGACTCATCCGAAGGCAGAGCTGAGAGCGAGTGGCGAGTAGGCAGAGGAGTGGCCTGAGGCGAGGAGTACGTGAAGCCGAAGCGCTGAAGGACCTGCTGCACCATGTGTGACTGAGTCAGGGTAATGGTGCGGCGTGCTCTGTCCCGGGTGATCTGCAAGCCAAGGTAGCTGCGCAGTTCACCCAGGTCAGTGCACGTGTGTCTCTTCTGCAGCTCGGACTTCACGTAGGCGAGTCCAGCAGTGTCAGCTGTGGCAAAGACCAAGTCGTCGACGTACACGAGGATGTAGAACGGCGGCAGAGAGGTGTCGGTGCGCAGAAACAGCGACGGGTCGGCAGTGGAAGGAGCAAACCCAAGTGCCGCGAGCGTAGTCCTCAGTGTGTCGTGCCACTCACGTGGCGCCTGGCGGAGACCGTAGACTGGACGCCGGAGACTCCACTGGGTACCAGGAGGGAAAGACCCAGTGAAGCCAGGTGGGCGACGCAGCCAGATCTCCTCGTGCAGGCTGCCCTGCAAGAAAGCTGTGCTGAAGTCGAGAGAGTGCAGCTCGTAGTCACGGTGAGCAGCAACGTGTAGCAGAACCCGAAGAGTGGTCATCTTCGGGGTGGGGGGAGAAGGTCTGAAAGTAGTCAACCCCCTGCCGCTGACTGAAGCCACGAGCCACGTAACGCGCCTTGAAGACAGGCGGAGAACCCGGCGGCCGCTTCACCCTGAAAATCCACATGCCACTGACGATGTTTGCCCCAGGAGGGGGAACAGCGTCAACGTAGGTGCCTGTGGACTTCCAGGAAGCCATCTCTGCATCCATAGCTGCCTGCCACTGAGAGGAGTAGGGACCCTCTATCGCCTCCGCGTAAGAGCGCGGAGTCGGGATGTCTGGTGCATCCGGGTCTCCCTCAGGGGCTAGCACTACAGACGCGAGACGAGGTGAAGCGGCGGCCAGACACTGGAACTCCTCCTGCCTGTCCTCAAGGACGTCCGTGCCAAGGGCACACTCACCCCCGACGGACGGAGGACAGGCGGACTCAGACTCAGTGATAAGACGAGCAGCGTAGTCTAGACGACAGCGCGCAGCAAAGTCGACAAGCTCAGTGACAAGGGCAGACGCAGCAGACGACTCGAAGGAGGGGTCAGTGACAGCAGTAGCCAGGAGACGCGTGACAGTAGGACTTGCAGCACGAAGAGCGTCCGACTCCGGGTCGGCAAGAGCAGGAAGAGAGGAAGCAGGAGGAGAAGGCAAAGGGGCACGCAGAGGAGCAGTGGACGGACGCAGTGACATCCGGTGCGTGCCACGGACAGGAGGAGGACGCTGACGCGACCCGCGACCACTAGCGCGCTCAGTACGAATAGGCGACACAGGACGAGACGCAGGCTCACGACGCTCAGTAAGACCTCCAGTCGGACCAGCGTAGGGAGAAGGAGCAGGCGAAGGGGAGGCAGGCTGTAGCTGTGGCTGTGACCGGACAGGCTGCGGACCCTCTAAGGGAGGAGGAGGAGGTGTAAGACCAAGAACCTGCTCCAGGAGCGGAACGAAGTACGGTCGGGGCCGCGCGGCGACGCTAGAAACAGCAGGAACAGCACCAGCAGCCCCGGCAGGAGCACCCACTCTAGCAGCACCTCCAGCAGCACCAGAACCTCCAGCCGCAAGCACCAGGAGCACTGTCAGTCGGGCCGCCAACGGCAAGCTCAGCGCCAACACCCTCAGCAGGACCAGCTCCAGGAGAACTCTCAGACTCAGCAGCTCCAGCACCCACAGTACGAGCGCCGGCGGGGCGCGCAGCAGCAGTGCCCTCTGCAGCCGAAGAACCACCAGCACCAGCAGCACGCCTCCAGCGCCCGGCAAACCACTCACGCAGCTCCTGTGGGGAGAGTGGCTCCCGGCGAGACGAAGCACCCCCAGGCACAGCACCTCCAGGCACGGCACTCCCAGGCTCAGCACCCCCAGGCCCAGCACCCCCAGGCACAGCACCCCCAGACTCGGCACCTCCAGGCTCAGCACCCCCAGGCACAGCACCTCCAGGCTCAGCACCCCCAGGCTCAGCACCCCCAGACTCGGCACCTCCAGGCTCAGCACCCCCAGACTCCGCACCCCCAGGCTCAGCTCCCGCAGCAGCACCAGAGTCACCAGTGACCTCGACAGGCTCGACCGCGTCTACCTGGGACACACCTGAAGGGGCAGGACCCTGAGGGGGGAGGGGGACTACCGGGGGGGGACCTGGTACCAAGAAGAGCGGGGGTGGGGGGAGAGACGGAGTGCGGTAGGGGAAGAGGCGGTAGTAGGGTACCGACTCGTGGAACGTGACGTCCTGGGAGGACAGA